AGGGAAGTTAGGAGGTTATTCCTAGATTTTGTTTCCTCTTGTAACCTATAAATAGTGCCTCTATTCCTCATCTTTGATCAATCAATTTGAGAATTTATTTCTTCTCTCTTTTCTCGTGTATGTCTCTCTGGTGTCTCTATCCTTAGTTTTTAGCGAGACAATGTTTTTTCAAACTAAAACTTCAGTAATTTTCTTTATGGAACAGTTAAATGCAATTGAGATTATGTGACATAAAGTCTTGTTCATGTTCATTTCTCATACATAAATCCCTTGTCATTTTGGTCTATTGAATTCTTTTTCCTCTTAAATAGGACGTGCGATATGGGGAAGCAGTTAGACGATTGGAGTTTGATAAACAGCTTGGTCCTTATAATCTGAGCCAATATGGAGAATGGAAGCGAATATCTAACTACATCAACAGTAGCACAATTAAACKGTTAGGTATGCGCCCATTGCTATTTCAGTGGCTAGTCTGCACCATTCACTTTAGTTGCAATTTGCATGTAAATATTCTTTCATTTTCAGTGGCATTTGCTATGATTGTTTGCAAAAGATTGGAAGAAAAATATATACTTAGCTTAGTCATGACAGGTTTGATATTAGAGGATACTTTAAACCGGTAATGTTACGGTCTTTGATTTTACCTAACTTGGTTCGTGGTTTTCTTTTATGCATGAACTTAGCTATGATAAGATCATTGTCAATGATAAGAAAATAATTTTGGCTTACTTGCAAAGGATGGATACAAGATTAGTCTAAATAGCAATTACAGAAAGGAAAATAGCACAAAAGGAAAAACTTACCCAATTAGGTGCTAATTACAAATAAGGAAATAAATACAAAGAAATATGGCTGTACAACATAGTTTAAAAATCATAATTTACCTTATTGAAGTACTRGGAGTTGAAGGATTAAAAAARTTCTCAAAACTAGCTATGAGGTGTGAGTTAAGTAAATTAGCTGTCCAACTAATCATTGTTACCTGCCCTAATCAACCGCTTCACCTTTAGGAGTCCCCTAGCTTTGTATTTAGGTCTCAACTGGTTCTCATCYWCTCATCCAAGTCTCCTTTAAAGCATCAAGTGGGTTAAGGGTAAGGTAATCCTATTTTACCTTTATGATTTCTACTTGTTAATTTTAAGAGAATGAAAATATTATGATATATTCAAATATATGCAACTTAGGTCTTCTTGTGCAAGAGAAAGACCTACTATAAAAAGGAATAGGAGACCTACCACAAATAGGAATAGGAGACCTACTACAAATAGGAACATGAGACCTACTTCAACAAAGAAAGAAATAAAAACCATGAGGACTAAAATAATGACAACTAATAAATATTTATATATATTCCATCACTGCTTCTTGGTAATTTATTAAGTAGTTCTTGATTACTGGGATGATATTCATCGTTCTTGGAAGATTGTTACTAGACGAGACTTGAAAGTGGGGATTAAAGAGTTTGGAATCTTGCTGGAAAGTTTGAATTCAATATCCTTAACTAGTGAGGAGGATTCTAAAAGCTGGAAAATTGATCCGACTGGGGACTTCTTGGTTCATTCATTAGCAAAGAATTGATCTCTCTCCTCCCCAATGCAAAAAAAAAAAAGAATTTTTGACCATCGGGAAGTCAAAAGGTCCCAAAGAAGGTCAACGTTCTGATCTTGATTTTGTTGCATTCAGGATTAAATGATGCTGATGTTTTCCAAGGGAAGCTATCTTGTTCGTTCCTCCAGCCTTCTGCATTTCTATTGTGTTTTTGTCATAGCGAACATCAAAATCATCTCTTGTTCATGTGTGGCTAATTGCTGGTTTTCATTATTCTTCAGCGGCTTTTTGTTTTTTTTTTGTGATATCCGCATGTCTGGGCCAACTTGCGTATTCTTCAGTGGGTTTTTGATAAAGATGCAAGTGCAAATCTTCTTCAGCTCTTAGTTGGGCCGATGTTATCTTCATGTGCTAAATTATTATGGATTAATGCAGTCAAATCCGTAACTGCAGAAATTTGGTTCGAAAGTAATCTAGAGTTTGGGTGGGATGATTYGATTTAGCAAGATTCACAAGGGTGTTCTCTTTCTAATTGAAAAAGGAGCAAATGAAGGGTTGATGGAAGGATTTGGTCAGAACTATGGAATATTTGAAGTGACAATCGGGTTGAAGGTCAATTAAGCAAAATCAATATTGAAGCCAAAAAGGTGGCATTGGTGGCTGATCGTATGGAATGTACAACTAAAACTCTTCCAATGGCTTATATTGGTTTGCTTCTTGGGKTTGTTAAAGAAAAAAGAATTTTGGGAACTAATAGTTGAAAAGATTGATAAGAAGTGAGACGGATGGAAGAATTTTAAACTTTAAACTGGAGGAAGGCAAACCTTAGCAGCTTGGTATTGTCAAGGCTATCTTTGTATTACATGTTTTTTTAAGTATGCCATTGTTATAGAAAGTGAGAAAAAATGAGAGATTCTTGAAGTGTGGGGGAGGAAGGTGGAAAATTTTAGTGAATTGGAAAACAATTTCTATGGCCTTGGTGCTGTTACAATAATGAATTATTGGTTTACCTCTTTTTGTGTGGGATGTTGTAAGGGAAAAAAAATGTTGAAAGACGTAGAGTGTGTGCCGAAGCCCATTGCTCCTCTTATTTATTTAATTTAATGATTACTTTGTTTGTATAGCTGTAAATATCTATCCCCTTTATTTATTTGCCATTTTTCTTTATTTTCGTTTCAAAAGGAAAGGCCTAGCCTTTACTCTTTATATCTATGGCTGTATACCTCGATATACAAAAATTTCTTTTCTTTCATCATGACAAAAGTGAAGCCCTTGGTTTTGGAAGGACATTTGGGCTGGAATGCAATCTTTTCAGGTGATGTTTCCTAGAATCCTTTCCGTGGTTCAAGTTTCAACATAAAATGATCAAGATGCTTGGGATTCTGTCTTTACTATAGTTTGTGGAGAGGAGAAATTGGTGTGAGAAGAAATGAAAGATACTCAAGGATTACAAGATATAGTAAATRTGTTGTAACCTTGGGGGATTAGAAAAAGATTTAAGAGTCTGGAAATGTGATTCTTCAAGTGATTTTTGGCTTAACTTCTTAGTAAGAACCTTTTCTGATCATTCCATTCCATAGTTGAGTAGATAGAGGATGGTTCAAGGGCTGGTGGAAGTCAAAAAGTCCAAGAAAGGTGAGAATACTTTTATATGGATTGTGCATTTGGTGGTACCAATTACAGTGGACAAAGCTAAAAAGGAAGCGTTTTGGTTTGTCTTTGTCTCCAATGGAATATGTTTTATRTTTCTTGGTATGGGAAGACCAAGAACGTTGCAAAAAGTCATGCTTTTTTGGTGTTCACAATTAAGATTGTTTTCTAATTATCCATTCAATGTAATTAATTTTAATTGGGGGCCTTTTTTTGTAACTTAGTAAGTCTTGCTTTTGAATATGCTTTAGCTAGTGTGTATGAAGAGAAAGATCAGTTTGTTTAATTATTTGATTGCATTTCTTTCTTATCCTATAGTATAACTTTTCAA